ATGTAATTTAAGATGGCTATACAGTCTCTCCCTCTTCCTCCCCCCCCCCCCCCCCTCCCCCCCCAAAAAAGGAACAAGCAGCTCCCTTCAAAACAAACAATTCCTCCACTCAGCCTCTTCACAAGGAAAAGCTGGATGACGAGCTAATCTCACATTATGCAGTCAAGTTTGTGTTTTAAAATGGAGTAAAAATTCCTGTTTCTCTAAAAGTACGTGGCCAGTTGGTGTGACATTTCACACCAGGTTAGTTTTTTATACCCTTTTAATTTTCTATGTAGTGTGGTTTTGGTTTCTCCTCATGCATTTTTAATAGTTAGGATTTAGGCTCTGCCTGAATATTTGTCTTGCAAGGTTTGCTTTTCACTGTTGAGTGATATCTCAAAAACTACTATCTATCAACACACAGATTGTTCGCAAGTTAGGACTTGAGGAGATACGATGCAACAGGGAAGGTTTTAATTTTTGATTGAGGGCTATATTTTGGCCATTGTTCACATTATATATGAAAATTTATGCGTTGTGCACAAACCTTATTGATGGAGGCCAGGTGCAAACTAACCTGATTAATAGCGTTGGGTGCATGCAAATCTGATTGATCAGATGTATATAAGCCTCATAGATGGAAAGCACACTCTTGATTGATGGTAAGGGCCTAGGCACATGCAAACCTGAGTGGTTGATAGAGATGTATTTTTAGCATAGATAGATCTATTTTTTTAATATGGATTGTAGTGTATTTCCAAGAGATATATTTATCATGCATTTAAATTTACTGTATAAATATTTTTTCATTTAGTTATTTATTCTAATTTCCTTCATTGGTTTATAATAAAGTAAAAAGGGCTAATTGTTTTATATTGCTTTTCCTTTCAGGAACCAAGGCATCTGCAGTTTTTCAGTGAATTCAGCAGTAGTGATATGTATATGTCTTTAGCAGGCAAAAAGATGTCTGGAACACCAGCAAACTATGGATTCTGCTTTAAGGTACAGGCTTAATATTTTGATAGATATATGCTAAAGCAAGCTACAGTTCTTAGGTAAGCTTATGTTTCGATAAGATTTAAAAAAAAAAGATTCAGCTGTCTATTATAAAATAGGAGAATTAGTGGCTTTTATTTCAACAGGTATTATCTGCAAGATATGCATTAATGCTAAACAATGTGCTGTGGCCTTCTAGCCTAACAAAGCAGGAGGAGCCAGAGACCTGAAGCAGCTTTGTGCAGATGATGAGCAGAGTAGGACCTGCTGGATGACAGCAATTAGATTACTTAAGGTAAAATCTTCTGTGAAGTTAATTTCTTGCTAGTAATTTACTATGTTAAATGCTTTTATATTCTGAACTAGAGAAGCAAGGGTTACTTGTAGGTTTCAGTGTAATAAAAATCCTTAATTTTGTACACTGTGGGCTCTTTTTGACTTCTCTCAATAAAGAAGATAGACACTGAATTTCCAGTACAGTTGAAAAAGCTGGCACTGCTGCTACTGGTGCTGTCCCCGATTATGATGCAAGAACTTACTTGAGTGGTAGAAGAGGCTGCTTTTAGTGGCAAAGTAGGCAGAATGGGTCATATGGTGCCTATAAATGGCTAGAATTAACATACATGTAAGTTATTTCTGAAGAAAATGAAAACTGTAGCCATTTACTCATTCTGGCCAACTTTTTGTGTTTTTTGAGGGATCAAAATTTATACATTCCAGTTTTGTACTTAGAGAATTCTCTTTAAATGTAGTGTCAGAAAACCATAATGAAAAATATATTTCTAAGGCAAGGATTCCTATTGTCTGTGCAGGCAGTTCTATTTTTAAATTCATGTAATTAAGCTAATAAAAATCAATCTTTCTAAATGAAATTCATTGTATAGTATTCAGGAGCTCCTGTATAATTTTTATTTAATACTTCAAGGTGGTACTACTAAAATCCCCACAATAAACTAATAGTGATCAGGTATATTATTTTTTGGTTTTAGTATGGAATGCAGCTGTATCAGAATTACATGCAACCATATCAAGGTAGAGGTGGCTGCAGTTCTCTGAATATATCACCTATGGTATGTACTGTAATAACCTATTGAGCAAGTAAACTACTTAAAATGGAACCTATGGCAGAAGCAATGTAACCCGTGTCTGTGATCCCAGAAACATTTGTGTGTGCTTAACTTTAAGCATGTGAGCACTCATCAAAATCTTTCGGAACAATGGTCAGCTGCCCTTAATGACATTGGAGCTGGAGGTTGAGCCTTTACTGATTCCATGCACTCCCACTGTGTCTCTTTCTGTGCCAAGTGGCTCTTGGTGCAGGAGAGAATCTAGCCCTGTATTTGCACCATGCTTGAGCTACGGAATATTAAGCAATTCACCAATCAGTCCAGCAGCCCTCTTGAAAAATGACGAATATAAATGATCAAACTGAGATTGAATATGCAGAATATTCTCAGTACAGAAAGCAGTTAATTTCTCACATCCCTGAATCATAATTCACAGCAGTTTCAGCAATGCAGATCCCATTCTCTAAACTCCCCTTTTATCCAAACATCGCCTTTTATCCAGTCCTTGTTTGCACCTTTTACAAAAGTTTAAGCAGATTGTAATTCATTGGCCCGATCTTCAGCTCAGGATATGGCCCCAGGATTTGAAGTTACTCAGTTGTGGTCTCTGATGAAGTAATTGTAATTAAATGTTTTTGATAGGAGTAGGCTGTCCTAATACCTATTATTGAAATCTCCTCTACTCTGAGTTCTAAAGTAATCTTTCTAGGGTTGTAACCGAATTGGACTATTTTAAGGCTAGATATTTTTGGTTAGGAAGCTTTAACTGCACAGGCATATCTTTTGTGCTCTACACATTGCTTCAAATTATAGAATCATAGGGATTTTTCTATTTATTTATATCCCAGTGCCCACCAATGGTTGCTGTGGAGCTACTGTACTTAGTATCAAGCTCCATTTATAAACCTGAGTGCCTAAGATACAAGTGCTTGTGCTAACTTTGAGTCTTCCTTGTCCATGAATCCATGTTTACTCAGTTACATGAAACATTAAATTACTTCCCTCTTGCAAACCTGACCCTCAGAATATTTTATACAAGAACTTGCTTGTACTGTTTTTATGCTCCTTCATAACAGCCAGGAGTTTAACAGAAAACACTGAAGTAGATCTTACGATCAGTGAAGGCATACAAACTAACATTACTCAATTTCTCTTAGCAGTCCCACAAAAACTTGTATTGGAAGTTTAGACTGTGAAGCCTAGTGTACAGTCACACATATCCCAAGTATTTAGCAATTTTGGTTGAATTTAAATGGCATGGGGGGAGGGGAAAGAGATGGGGGAGAAACAAAGTAGAGTATAAGAATCTCCAAGGATCTGAAGGGCATCTCAATTTCCCCTCCTGTTTTTAGGGGTGTTGTAAGGGCTTTTGAACAGAAAGGAAAGTGCCAAAGCCACACAAGACCAAATACGATTGTTATTGGTATCCTCGATTCCAGAACGGCTTGATGTCTCAGAGAAATAAGGCTCTTTGAGCACTAGCAGAAAAATTCTTGCCTAAATATGGTTAACTTCAGCCTGTACAGGCTGGCCATACTATGTCCACAGCATTGGACACAGATGAGTCCATGCTGAAGTATGGAGTTTAATAGGCTTTCCTACTTGTGTAGTAATGTGGGCTTCCTGAATGGAATAATCTCTCTTCTTTCCCATACCTCATCTCAGCCTACCCATTCACACGGAACTGAGCTCATTGAGTTGAGTAGCACTGTTATGTTTGAAAGAGGTCTGCATTGTGAATACCAAATTATATTAAGCAGTGCGTGTTTAGCAGTTTTCAAAAGCTGTAATAGTAGGTAGGCCCATCATATACCCACTCTTAAATTTAGATGGGACCTTGGAAAAGCTATATTTTCACAACTGTACTGTAGTAGTCACATCAATGTATGATTTAGCCATCAAAAAGGTTGCGTTGTTTTTTCATGATTTGCAGTTTTCTTTAACTCTATTCAGTGTGGCCATTGAAAAGGAAATTGCATCCTTGATGGACTTACTCTCTCTCTTAATGTATTTGAGTCACAGATCAGTGATGGGATATTACAGAATCGTCTTGGAAATTTTTAGTCCTTTGGAAATGGTTCAATAGGTGTGGTGTGTTTTGTTTTTGTTTTGTTTTTTGTTTTTGGTAACAGTATTTGAGGTTCAGGGAAGTTGAAATTACTTCTCAGCATGCATGAGTACAGTTATTTTGTAAGGATCTAGTTTTATAGCATTGGTGAGACCACATACTCCAGTTCAGACCTGTGGCTTTTTTGGTAGATGGAGGCTATCATTTGAAGTAAGCAGAGCAAAAGTTTTTTGTACAGTGTCTCATGACAACCATCTTAACTAGCCATAAATAGTAAGCTGAGATAGTTTAGATCCACAACCTTAGCTACAGCTGGTGAGGACCAATCTTCAGTAGCTTAAGCATCTTCAGACCAGGTACTATTGGTTGCAGTGATGCAAAAATAAGACACATTATAAGTCTTACGATACTAAGTAGCCATTACCTTCTCCTTCCTCCCACATTTATCTTGCCAACTGGCCAAACCTTAGTTCAGCTGGATAGTCTCCCTTGAAGAGAATTAGAACTACAAATGTTGTCCAAAGTGAAACAAATCTTGGTTGAGAGGAGAAAACCTTGCAAAAAATTTGAAACACAACTGGCAAAATATAAAGTTTCAAAATAAGGTGTGTTTCCCCCCTTGCAAATCTGAATTCCCCTCTTTTTTTTTTCCCCCAGAGGAGCATTTCAGAAAATTCCTTGGTAGCAATGGACTTCTCAGGACATAGAAGCAGAGTTATTGAAAATCCAACAGAAGCCCTTTCAGTTGCAGTTGAAGAAGGGTTAGCATGGCGGGTATAAACACCTTTACTTTTTCAAAGTATTTTTTCTAATTTTATTTTCACACAAAAAGCTTCGACACATGAATTTTTTTTTCTCTTCCACTCAGAGAAAAGGGTGTTTACGACTCAATACACATGGAAGTCCTACCACTTCTCAAAGTGCCACATCCAGTGTAGGTATGTGTGAATTCATTTGCAGCCCCAGAAGAGACGCATTAATGTTTATGATAAAACAATTTTGTTAAAACAATGATCTTTATTTTTCCAGCTATACATAGAACACAACTGTGGTTTCATCATAAAATCTCTAGGGATGAAGCTCAACGACTTATTTTACAGCAAGGACTTGTAGATGGGTAAGCTGATTTCTTTTCTTAACTTTTTTGGGTTGTAGTTATGGTCAAAAAAATAACTACATAGAAACATTATTTGCTTATTGAAGGGTTTGTGTCATGATATCTGCTTAATGGAAATAAAATAAAAACATTCATATTATTTGAGCTATGGGAGAACGAGTTGGATTGTATTAGGGATCTTTCTTGAACAATAAAATAGTGCTCTAAAGCCCCGATCCTGCAGTTGAGTGGATGGACTGCTGCATTTGCACAGAGCCGTGTTGAAATCAATGGGCTCTGGATTGGCACAACAGTCTGTCATCTACACTGTCAACTGTAAGATCAGGGCCTAAAATTGGATTCCAGCATCTCTTACTAGTGATGACTCAGAAAACATTGCTTGGCTTTCATACCATCTGTGCGCAGTTTACAAATGGATTCTTCCAACTGCCAGCACTAGAAACTCAACCTCGGATTTGAAAGTAATTGAGAGAGAGTAAATGTTGAACTTCAAGATGAGTCATTTAGTCTTCTAATGATATACTTTAAATATTTAAAATATTTATTCTCTGAAAAAAAGTACAAAGATAATGTATATTTCATATTTATTTGTCCAAATGTTCATATTTCTTTGATTGCTTCCAAATCTCTTCTCCTGCCTTGCTGTAATACAGTTGCATTTTGTGGTACCTTTTTTTAAAGTTTAGGGCTTCCTCAGCCCCATAATTCATCTGTATAAGTTCCCCTCTTATTTTGGCCTCCCTGCTGGCCTTCCAGATATGAACTCTTATCATCCATCTAACCTATTAGATTGGGCCACCACTTCAAATCTTTCTGGAGCTCAGAATAATGCTATTGGAAACCCCTTTAGATCACTGATTTAACACAGTTTCCTATATCTGTCAGAAAGGGCTGCACAAAAAGTGGCTCATAGTGCTGAAAACATTTTCCATTGTGGAGCTCTGAATCTCCGCTGCAAAACCAAGAGCTCCATCCTCCTTGAATTCTGTTCACTGCAATGATATTAGCAGCTGGTCTAATAAAGGGAAGTAAGATTTCTAGTAATGTACTCCGCAAATAATGTTTCTGAGGTATGCAGATTTAAAGTTGCAAAACCTGCTTTTTAAATGGAAAAAATTAAAACAGTGGTTTGGGGAGCAAAGAGAATTTGAGCCTAGAAAATGACCCAAAGTTCTCTGTACAATGTTGGTGTGTGATAATACTCTGGTGTCTATAGAGAGATGTGCATTGTAGTTTGGTGGGAGGGATCTTGTTGAATAGACTGTCTAGAATTATTTGAAACTGGTAGTACCTGTAATCCATGGACTGGCAGCTTGTATTGAACACAGATATATCTGCCCAAATTGTATACTAGACATTAGCGGTAATGGCACCGATAATACGGTATGTGACAAATGTTTCACTTGCTTAGTTGTCTGAAAAAATGAACTACCACCTTTAATGTAGAGGCTTTGCATGAGAGTAATAAGATGTTCTATCTGTATAGGTTTGCACATGTATCAGGCAAAATTCTCCATTCCTTGTGTAGAGCCTTGGTGGGTGTCAATTCAAAGATAAGTGTTCCAGGCAATGAAACCCACTGTGTAGATGCAAACAGATTATAGGCTGCTGTTCTAGTATGTGGCCTGATAAATAGTGTTCATACTGGCTTATAAAAGAGGAAAGTTAATAGTTTAACAAGGGCTATTATGTAAAGGAACTGCAGCAGGCTGATAATGGTGCCATCACTTGAAGAGAGTGCTGAACCTAATTACAGATAGCAACAATTTTAAAGCATTTTTTGAGACTCCTCATGGTACAACTGCTTTCTCAGGGGATGAAGGGAATACTAATGAGTCACAGATCTAATCTCCAGTAATTTTACAAACTTGTCTATTTTCTGGAAAGTTTGTCTGTGAGCACTGCATGTGTCTAGGCTGTTTTTCTTCCCAAGTTTTACTACATGCCAAGTTTAGGTGAAGTAGTGCAATAATTTGAAAGCATTTGGGGCTATTTTACTTTTAATCCAAGTTTACACGTTTGTTAGTTTCTCTGTGGAGTTTAGGAAATGCAACAAATAAATAAAATACATTTATGACTGATGTGGGGTGTGTGTGTGTGTGTGTGTGTGTGTGTGTGTGTGTGGA